TTTAAACCTGGGGACTCGCTGCGCTCCCCCACAGCGAGGGAGGCAGGGAGCCCTCGCCTCAGTGAGGATAGCCCCGAGCTGGCCCGGGGCAAAGGGGTGTGGGGAGACTCCCCCAGATTGGCAGCACCCCAGTAGTGTGGCCGGGAAAGGTTGATGAGAGCCAAGAGGGGTACCGGTGCCGTGGCTGGAGACCTGGGGGCAGGCAGACCGGGGTCCGCCCCCAGTCCCGTCCCCCTCCACTCCTGGGCTCTGGCCCTGCAGAGACTTGCAGGATGCGTGGGAAGGGAGGGGAGCCAGGGGAGGAGGAGGCCCAGCTGGGACCTGGGGGTGGGTGTGGCTGACACTGGAATATGGGTTTTTGCACTGTTTATTTTTTTGTTTGTGTTTTTTTTTTTTTCCTTTAAAATAAAAACAGAAAGAAAAGCTCCTAGGTCAGTGTGATTTGTGTGCTGCCTGGGCAACTGTGCTTGGGACCTCACCTCACCTCTGTCCAGCCAGCAGCCTGTGCACTGCCCTGGCATGAACCCTGGAAGGACTCCAAGGCAGGAGGGGCCTCTGCACCCTGGTCATGCTACACCAGCATCCCTTGTCTCCCCTGAATCCTTGAGAGCCACACACAGGACAACAGTTGGGAGACAGGAGCCTGAAAGCCACCAGATGCTTGCGCTGAACATCTGCTGAACACCTGTCCTCCTGTGGGCCCCACCCTCTGCATCAGCTCCACACTGCCCCTCCAAGGGCTTGCCTGGGATGCCACTGGGCCCCGTGTCACACACAGCATCCATCCTGGGTCTGTCACAGCTCAGCACAGCCCTAACCCTAAGGAAGCTGCACTTCCTCGGGACCTGTTTCCTCATCAGTAAAATCAGGGTGCAGGACCAGGTGGCTTTAAGAGCACCTGGGACACCTTTCTTTCTGCCCCAGCTGCCATTCACCAGCAGGACTGAGAAAAGGAGAAAGCACATCAGTGGGGACAGGAGAGAGGATAGGGAGGTGACAGTCCATGAGAAAAGCTGACAGCACTGCCCAGGTGCCAGAGGGGTGGCAGCGGCCGGTGCCAGGGCCCAGTGGCTGCACAGCCATGGATGGCCTCCGCTGGCAGCCAGTTCTGAAGGGCCAGTGGCCATGGCAACGTGGATGCAGGGATAGACAGTGACAGCAGCGGTGATGGTCCTGTCCCCAACCTTCACATCTCTGTCATCCTTGTGAGACAAGAGCCCCCAGTAGAGTCCCCAAGGCAGCCACAGCAAGGAAGCCAGCCAGTGGGTGGGCTGGGTGGAGCCTCTGGAAGCCTCCCCTCTGTGGAGCAGGTTCAGGATCACCCTGTCTGCGCAGGAGGCCCCAAGGCAAGGCAACATGGCCAGGAGAGACCTCAGGCTGGGCACTGGTCAGCTGGCCCCTTGGTCTTTCCCTGAAAAGCATGTCTCCCATCCCCAGAGACACCTGGCAGGGCCTTAGTTCAAACCCACGTCTAGATGTTTACGGATGTGCAGCCCCCGTGGTGCCCAAATCACAAACAGTGAAGGTGCCCAGGACCCCAGCCACCACGCCTGCCCAGCCTCATCACACAGCACTTTCCAACTTGCTGGTCCCAAAACCCACTCTGCAGGTACCAGGCACAGGGACCCAGCCCTCCACTGCGCAGTCTCCCTTGGGGCACGACCCAGCTGCTCCCCAGTCTCCGCTCCTTTTCAGAGAGTAGCTGTCCACGTCACCGCAACCTCAGTTCTCTATCCAAGGCCTTCCCGTCCCCAAAGACAGATTCCCATGGCAAGTGGGAGGGAGCTGGGTTTCTGAGGGGACAAAAGGGAAGACAGGAAGCGGGCGAAGGTGGCCGGTAAACGGGACCACCGGGAAATTCTGGAGCGGGGGCGGGGTAGGCGCTGCTTCCCCAAGGAATTCAACTGCCGCCATGGCACTGACCGCCTGCATGCCGTGCTCCCCAGGTAGCTGCCAATGGGCCTTGGCCCCTTGTCCCACACCTGCACTTCCTGCAGACAAGGCCTCCCCGAAGATGGGGCTGGGTCTCCATCAGACTGAGTGCCCTGCGGGTGGAGCCCGGGACTCATGCATTAGCCCAACTGCCCCAGAATGCAAGAGCCGGCCTGCAGGGGCAGGAGCAGCACCTCCTCCTGCTGAGGGGCTGGCTGCTAGGGAGAGGAGAGGGTTTGGTGAGGGAGCCCCAAACAGCCATCAGAGCAGTGAACCTCTGGGTACAGGGTGAGTCCATGCCAAGCCCAGGACCCAAGGGCTCGGGCCAGGAAAGGAAGGTCCAACAGGCCAGTGGAAGCCGGCACTAGGCCAGTGGGGACCCTGGCTTCAGCCCCAGAAGTGCCAGAAGTGGCTGCAGAGCTGAGTTGTTTCTGGGGGGAAAGGGGTGCTGGAGGGGCAGCCACTACCGGGTCACCCTGGGGCCACGGCCTGCCACCAGCCTCCTGGCCAGGCCCTCTGCTCCCCAGCTTGCTCTCTGAAGCTCCAGAGGCCACGGTGTCTGGAGCCTCCCTGCTCTGGAGACTTCCTGCTCCCCTACCACAAGGAGTTGATTCTGAAAGACACCGAGTGGGTGGGTGAGAAGGTGGGGGTCTTGGTGTCCCCACCACAAAGAGGGTGCAGCTCCCTGGGGCCTTCCCACCGCGCAGGCAATTTCAGAACACAGTGGTGGACTACACTAAGCATATTGGGTTTTTTTTATTAATGAAAACATAATATAGCTTCGAAAAATGTACAAGTTCCCGGGCCCCGTATCCACAGTAAACTGTCTGAGGGGGCCGGGTGCAAAGCTTCTGTCCACCGTGCCTTCTAGTGTGCCCCTCTGGCCCCTGCCTGGGCCCTCACACCAGCCCAGCTGTGTCTGTCTACCTGTCTGCCTGTCTGAGCTCATCCCCGCCAGCCTAGGGGCAGGGCCTGTCCTGCATCCTCCCTGAGGGGCTTCCTGTAATAGCAGCGGCCTCCTGTGGTCACCTAGTGTGACAAGCTCAGTCCCTGGGGTGGGGTCTCAGGCCCTGAGGTGGACAGGCACCGAGAGGTCCTTTGCCTGTGGGGTGGCTGGGCCTTCCCCTCACCAGGTTTCCCAGCCTTGCCAGGTACCGTGGAACTTTGGGTGGGACCACCCTCTGGCCCGGCTGTAGGGGGCGCTGTCTGAGCACAGCACGACATTTCACAGCACATGGGGTCTCCACTGGTACCACCATTCTGCTGTGACAGCCAAACTATCTCCAGACCTGGCAGAGTCCCCAGGGCAGCGTGACCAGGCTGAGGATCTGCCAGGACCCCTTTGGGGGCTGCTGTCTTCCCTGCTGAGATCATAGTAATGGCAACTGGCTGCTCCCATGAGGGACAGGGATGAGAGAAACCCCAGGCCCCACCTTCCTTGAGGACCTCACCCCTTTCCCATGAGCGCTCCTGTCAGAGGGCTGATAGTTTGTCCCTATAGCCTTCTCATGTTCTGACAGAAAAATCCACACTGGCACCCCTTAACCACTTCCTCAGAGTCAGGGGAGCCTCCTCTACTTTTCAGACTTTTCCCTTTCTACTCTTTGAGACGGTCTCACTAAGTTGCCCAGGATGGCTTCAAACTTGAGATCTGCCTCAGCCTCCCAAGTAGCTGGGATCGCAGGTGTGCACCACCATGCCTGGCTTCTCTACTGCTTCTAAGAGAACCCCAGAGGGCTTGGGTTGGGAGAGAGGGTCTGAGGAGGGTGGACAGGGAGGAGGAGAGGAGAACTCCTGGATTCTGGCTGCTCCCAGTTCCCCTCCCACTCCTCCTTGCCCCAGAACCAGGAACTCCTAGAGCCACCCTTGGGGCAGTGGGAAGTCTCAGAACAGGGAAGGGGACAGTCCTTCCGTGCAGGAACGCGGGCCTCTCCCTCCCAACCCGTAACCCCTCTCCCAGCCCTGTGGCACTGCACCAGAGGGAGTGGCTGGGAGGGTCCAAGTGCCCACCCAGAACAAAAGTTCCAAAAAGCCAGAGGTCTCCCAGGAACACAGGGACCCTGGCGATGGCAGGGCATGGGGCGATTATCAGTAAGCCCTTGATGGTCAGGGTTGCATATGTGGCCCCAGTAGTTGCTCAATAAATACTCAAAGGCTCCCAGGGCAGACAAATTTGGGTCTTTGTCACTATGCAGCACAGTGAGTCCTCAAATGCTGCCAACTGTGGCCATTTTCATAAGTGGGGTCTCTTTCAGTCTGAGAGATTCTTTCTAGCTTCTTAGCGAGACTCCAGATGGGGTTCTCAGTCCTTTGTCCATGTGACTGTTTGCTTTTAGGGAACAGGATCTTAGCCAGGAGTGGTGGCACATGTCTATAATCCTAGCCCTCGGAAGGCTGAGACAAGAGAGTTGCAAATTCAATGCCAGCCTGGACCTTGCCTCAAAAAAGCCAAACAAAGAAACAAACAAAAAGCAGAAAAGGAAAGAAAAGAAAAGAAACTATGTTGCCCAGGCTACCCTTGAATTCCTAGGCTTCCCCCTGCCTCAGCTTCCCCTCACCGGGTTTCTTGGCCTCGCCAGGTGCCGTGGCACTTTTGTGTGGGATCCACAAGGAAGAGCCTCTGTCCCGACTGTAGGGGGCGCTGTCGGGGCGCTGTCTGAGCGCTACAGGACATTTTGAAGCACTTGAGGGACTATAGATAGGCACCTCTAAAAGCATGTGGCTTTTAATGTGATTCTTGAAGCCAGCAAATCCAGAGGGACCCCAGAGAGTCCTTGGGGTTGTCACAGTGAGCTCTGCTCCTCCCCACGCTGGCTCTGGCTCCCTCAGGCTGACCTACACACCGTTGGTCTCCAAAGCTGGGTAGGTGTGGGGAGTCTGCTGTCGAGGACTGTTCCTGAGGGCCTGGGGGCCTAAGAGGAGCTGCACCCCATCTACAATGTCAGTAGGCCTCTTCCCACGGGAGAAAGAACCACTCAATGCCTCCCTCCAAGAGCTTCCGAGAACAGGACAGGCAATTCAATGAGCACCTACTGTGTGCTCAACATAGCAGCAAACAAAACAGACAAAACTCCTCCCTTGCTGAGCTTCACTTTTTCCCCCTCTACTACTGGGGATTGAACCCAGGGCCTTCTCGATGGGCTATGACCCCAAGCCTTTTTAATTATTGAGACAGGGTCCTTGCTAGGCCCATTAAATTGCCCAGCGGGGCTTGAACTTGTAACTTTCCTGCCTCAGCCTCTCAACTAGCTCGAATGACAATTATGAGCCATGGCACCTGGCTATATTTCACTCTTAGAGAAACTTCTGTGCTGTTCTCCAAGGTGGCTGCACCATTTTTATTCCCGCTGGTCAAGTCCAAGGACTATGACTTTTCCATGTCCTCCCCAACACTTATTAGCATTCACCTTTTTTCATGACAGCCCAATTGGATATGGAGGGGTTTCTCCTTGAGATCTTCATTTTCATTTTCTTAATAAGGAATGGTGTGAATCTTTTCCCAGTGATTATTGGTCATTTGTGTGTCTTCTGAAAAAGATGTCAGTTCCATTTCTAAATAAGGCAACTGTCTTTTATTATCAAGCAGAGGCCCCTGTTACAGGCATGGCAGCTTCCATAAACCAGAGCCGGCTCAAGGCCAAGGGCATGGGCTTGCATCACAACGCCTGCAGCTTTGGGGGCCAGAACTTCCAGGAGCTGTGGGAGGCCTGCCTGAAGGCGGGGGAGCTGTTTGAGGACCCCCTGTTCCCTGCGGAGCCTTGCTCTCTCGGCTTCAAGGACCTTGGCCCTGACTACCAATATGCGCAGGAAATCTGCTGGCTGCGGCCCAAGGTGGGCACCGGGTGGGGGGCTGGAGTGGGGAGGGGGCTGGGGGTCATGGTCTCTGCCCCCCTGGGACCTGGCCCCCGGCTCCCCCTCTGTCCCCTACAGCCTTCCAGGGACAGAACCCAGCATGCTCAGCTCAGTGTCCCTCTGCGCCTTGTTCCCACCCTGCTTTGCTGTCACAGATGAGCTGTATTCAGCTGGTCCGAGTCCCCCCTTATCTGCTCCCCTGGATAGAAGAAGAAGGTGGGGAGGGAGTGCCCTGCCTCGCCACCCTTGTTCCTCCACCCCCCACAGGAGATCGCAAGCAACCCCCAGTTCATTGTGGATGGGCTCAGCCCCACGGACATCCGCCAGGGGAGCGTGGGTGAGTAGCAGCCCTAGGAGACCCGGGGTTCAGACACCCGGCTCTGCTTCTCTGTCCCTGTCCTGCACGTCCCCTGCTGCAGCCTGGGTTTGGAATAAACTGGGATGACATATCAGCTACCCATCTCTGCATAATAAATCACACACAACTCAGGGATCCAAAGCCCTAACCCTGACCCAGGGCCTTGCACACGCTAGACACGCTAGACAAGCGCTCCACTACTGAACCACATCCCCAGCCATTTGAAAGGGTCCCAGGAAGGGCCGAGCTGGCCTGAAACTCGTGACTCTCCTGCCTCAGCCTCCCAAGGAGGTGTGATTACAGGCGTGTGCCACTGAGCACAGCGACAAGGATTTCTTACCTCAGAGTTTCTGTGGGTCAGGAAATCAGAAGCAGGGTGGCCAGGTGGGTCCAGCTCAAGGTCTGCCTCAGGTCGCCTGATGTGCTGCGTCCTCAGAGGGTGTCTCCAGGCCAGGACTGTCCATAGGCTGCTGAGAGTCCACACAGCAGAGTGGCTGCCCCCACCAAAGTGAGTGACCCCAGAGAGGCCTGGGAGTCCCACGTCCTCTTGCTCTGTCTACGAGAAGCCAGCCCTGAATCTGGCCCGGCCTTGAGGGGACAGGAAGTAGGCACCACATTCCGAGAGGAATGGGCACAGATGTGTGGACACATTTTCAACCCACTGCCAGGACCAGAACCTTTCCAGTCCAGTCACTGAGTAGGGGTCACGGCATCCCACATGCAAGGCTGACCCCAGAAGGCAGGTAGTGGCAGTGGGGACTCATGGTGCCAAGGCACGGGTGGGGTCCCTGGGTCTCCTATAAGATGTGGTGACATGAGGGACAGGCCTCCTGGGCCTTCGTCACCACACCAGGGTGCCAGGTCTGGATGGCGGCCGGGGGAAGGGGCTGGGTTTGTGCACAAGACAGAGTGGCTCGGTGCCCAAAGAGAGCAGGTCCTGGAGTGGAGTGGGCGCTGGGCCACTTCTTCCCCCAAGTTCCCCTCATCTGGGCTCTCACAGAGCAGGCAGGCCGAGCTCACCTGTGCCCCTGCCCCGTCCCCTGCACTCACTTCAGCCCTGCTGCCCCGGCAGGCGACTGCTGGCTGCTCGCTGCCATGGGCTCCCTGACCACGTGCCCCAGGCTGCTGTCCCGCGTCGTGCCCGGAGGCCAGAGCTTCGAGAGGAACTATGCTGGCATCTTCCATTTCCAGGTGTTGTGTAGTGAGTGACAGAGACACAGACAGAGACTCAGACTGACAGAGAGACGGAGACAGAGACAGAAGACAGGGGTCCTATGTGCGTTTGTTTTGGTGGGGGGGTTGATGTTTGTTTGGTTTTTGGTTTTGGTACTGGGGATTGAACTTGAGTCCTTGCACTTTCGAGGCAGGCGGCAGAACCACTGAGCTAAATTCCTGGCCCTTTTTGTTTTCTTTTTTTAAAAAATAATATTGATAAAGCCAAGCACAGTGGTGCATGCCTGTAATCCCACTGCTCTGGGAGGCGACTTCGCCTAGCAGAGAAATATCCACTCTGGAAGGAATTTTGTAAGCTAACTTTTAAGCCCCCAAAGAAAATAATGCTGCGCGTGTGTCTTCTCTTCTCTCCCTCTCATTGTTGGTGTGTGCAGACACGTGTACCTGTGTGTGTCTGCATGAGTGGCGGTCTGCAGCCTGTCATTTTTGTGCTGTGTCCTTTAACTTAGCAACACATGGACCCTTCTGTGTATTACAGATGTTTCCTAGCACAGGAGCGCTTCAGGCCCCAGAGCCCTGGCCTCCAGCTGTGGACTCTCGGAGCACAGCCTGGGCAGGGCCTAGAGGAGGCTGGGTCCGCAGTGCCGGGGAGTGGGACCCATGTGTTACTAGGCTTGGCCGCCAGGGGGCGCTAGCACGACAGAGTCCCAGCTTGCACATGTGTTTCCCTTATGACAAGTCTGTCCATGTGTGCGTACATGTATGTGTGTGCGTGCACCTGTGCCTCGCTGATCCTTTCGTGGCTGCAGATCTGGCAATTCGGGCGGTGGCTGGATGTGGTGGTGGATGACCGTCTGCCCACCAGGGCCGACCGGCTGCTCTTTGTGCACTCGCAGCAGCGCGAAGAGTTCTGGAGCGCCCTGCTGGAGAAGGCCTATGCCAAGTGAGCCCGGGGGCTGGGAGGCAGGGATGGGGGTGGCCAGGCAGCCCTCCTCTCCTCCCATTCCACCCCCACCTGGCACCCCACCGTGCTCTCTGTGACCACAGGCTGAGTGGATCCTATGAGGCACTGGCTAGGGGCAGCACCTCAGAAGGCCTGGAGGACTTCACCGGAGGCATGGTGCTGACCTTCCAGCTCCAGCACCCCCCACCCACCCTGCCAAGGTTGCTGCGTAGGGCCCTGCAGCACTGCTCTCTCATGGGCTGCTCCATTGAGGTAAGCGGGGCCCACCCCAGGGCCTTTGCACCTGCTGCTGTTGTACCCTAAAGGTTCCTGCAAGGGTCTAGCTCTCCTCTCCAAGTTCCAGCTCAGCAGTCCCCTCTGATGCACTTTCTACCTGGCTTTAACTTTCTCCCTTCATCCATGGAGACTGTGTCTATCTACACATTGCCCCATGGCTGTCTTCCCTCCAGACTTCTTTGTGTCACTCAGTGCCATGCCTGGGCCTTTGGGCAGGGTCTAGCATGTGACAGTCACCCAGCAAAGACAGGCAAAGGAATGAGTGAAGCCAGCATGGAGCCCTAGGAGCAGCAGCGATGTTCTAGGTCATTTTGTCACTTGTGTCTATGCAAAGCCTGTGGTCAGGTGCTACAGCACACCATGCGGGCACCCCACAGTGGGGAAAGGCTGAACGCCCTGAAATATTACTCAGCAACAAAAAGGGCCAGACTCGTAGACAAATGGGCAGCAGACTAGTGATGGTCAGGGGAAGGGAAGGGAAGGGGAAAAGGTGAGTGGGTTACAGAAGCACAGCACAAAGGTCCCTTCCGTCCCTGACTGTGGGAATGTGACACGGAACTACACGTGTGGTAACATCGCACAGAACACACACGAATCATTACTACACATCAGTGCCGACACCCTGGTCTGACCCTGCACAATAGTTTTGCAAGGTGTTGCCATGGGAGAAGCCGGTTAAGGAGCAAGTAGGTTTAACTTAGCAACATGTGGACCCTTCTGTGTATTACAGATGTTTCCTAGCACAGGAGCGCTTAAGACCTACCTTGTTTTATTTTATTTTATTTTATTTTATTTTATTTTATTTTATTTTATTTTAAGACAGGGTCTTGCTATGTAATTTAAGATAAGCTTGAACTCACTATGTAGCCCAGGATGACCTCAAACCTGTGATCCTCCTGCCTCTGCCTCCCAGTTGCTGGGGTCACAAGTGTGTGTCACCTTGCCCAGATGTATTATTGCTTATAACCTGTGCAGATCTACAATCACCCCAAAATGTAGAGTGTCGCTTGAAAGGAAGGCCCCAGGAGTTCTCCACTTCTTGGGTGCCCAGGGCAGACCGCGCCTGTCCCTCTCCTCTGCCCTGCAGGTCACCAGCGATGGTGAGCCAGAGTCGGTGATGCCCAGCTTGCTGGTCAGAGGCCACGCATACTCGGTGACCGGCCTGGTGGATGTGAGTCCTGGCCGCAGCCCACCGGAGGGCCACGAGAGGGACAGGGACCCTGCAGTGGCCCTGACCCTCCCGTCTCCCCCAGGTCCCCTACAGGGGCAGGATGGAACTGCTGCTGAGGCTGCTGAACCCCTGGGGCCGGATCGAATGGAACGGAGCCTGGAGCGACAAGTGAGTGTCTGATGAGGTGCCTGGGGGCGACGGTGTTTGGGGGGGTTGCCCCTGCCCACCCTCCCTGCCCTGCCTCCCTCCCACAGCTCTGCAGAATGGGACGAAGTGGACCCCAAGGTCCAGACACAGCTGCTGCGCAAAAAAGAGGATGGCGAGTTCTGGTCAGTGCGTCTGGGGTGTCCTGGCCCTGCGACCCCACCCCGTCTCCCTGCCACGACGGTGCCCTGGAAGCTGGGGGACCCTGGGCGCGGGCGTGCGCAGTGCACCTTCTCCCTGCCACAGGATGTCCTACCAAGACTTCCTGTGCCACTTCTCCCTCCTGGAGGTCTGCAACCTCACACCTGACGCCCTGGCCGGGCACCCTGCGAGGCGCTGGCACATCACTTTCTACGAGGGCAGCTGGCGGAGGGGCAGCACCGCAGGGGGCTGCAGGAACAACCTCGGTGGGTGAAGGACGTGGGTGGAAGGGTCGGGGTACCCGAAGTCTAGTGTCTGTCGGACCCCGGTGCGTCTGACCCCCGACGGCCTCCCGGCAGACACATTCTGGACCAACCCCCAGTTCAGGGTCTCGCTCTTGGTGGGCGATGACCCTGAGGACGACCTAGAGGACGACACGGTGGTCTGCACCTGCGTGGTGGCTCTGATGCAAAAGAACTGGAGGCTCGGCCAGCCACAGGGGGCCACGCTGCTGACCATCGGCTTCGTCCTCTTCCCGGTGGGCGCCCCATGCATCCCCTGCCCCTCAGCTGGCCGCACCCTCCGGCCCTCTTGTGGTCCGCAGCCCTGTCTCCCGGAGGCTGCAGTTTCCTGCCCTTCCATCGCCATGCCTGGCCAGCATCGCCTCTGTGACACATGCTGTCCCAGAGCCCCTAAGGAAGAGGAAGGAGTTTAGGGGCCAGAGAGGCCCCACAGCCACGCTTGCATCCACGGGTCAAGACGGGGCCCATGTCCTATTCCCAGGCCCTGGGCACAGCTGTGATCCCCCAAGTACTCCCTCTCTCCGTCACCTCCCCAGCGGCCCTCGCTCCAGGGACCCAGAGAAATCCTGACAGACTTCCCAGTACCCATGGTGCTCTGCAAAACCCAGAAAGAGCCACTCAGTCACCCACATCTGACTACATCGAGTATTTATGGAACACCTCCTGTATTTGAGGTCCTTCTCCCGTCTGGGTTCAACACAGCTGACCTGAGCCCTGAGCTCCAGGGCTGCTCCTGCGGGTTTCATGGAGGACCCTGAGGCACAGCCCCAGCCAGGCCCACTTCTGCTGTTGTAACTGAGCTCCACAGGAGTCAGGAGGGAAAAAAAAAAGGTTTCTTTGGTCTGTCATTCTGGAAATCGAAGAGCAAGGCTCTTCAGTCTGCCTGGTACCTGATGAGTGCCCCCTGCTGGGCATTCCCAGCACAGGGCATCACCTGGCCAGGCAGAGGAAACTGCTAGCTTGGGCCCCTCTTCCTTTTTTTTTTTTTTTTTTTTTTTTTTTTTCTTTGTTTTTGTTTTCAGTTTTTTGAGATGGGATCTCATTCTCTAGCCCAGGCTGGTGTTGAACTCAATGGTGAGCCTCCTTCCTGCCTCATCCTCCCAGAGTGCGGGAATTACGGGCATGAGCTGTGCTTTTAACTTGATGATTTATAAAGTCACTTGGAGCTGGGCACAATCTTGCACACCTGTAGTCCCCACTACTTCAGAAGTGGAGGCCAGGGGATCGATTGAACCTGAAAGTTCGGGACCAGCTTAGGCAACACTGAGACCTTGTCACGAAAAACAAACGCATGCACTTGTTTGTCCTTGGTCCCTGATTTCAAGTATCTCCTGTCCACTTCTTGCAGGAAATGAATGTTCCTTGGAATAGGGTCCCGGAAAAGCCCGTTGGATTTTCCCTCCCAGCTCTTTCACTTTTAGCAGCATGGGCTTAACAATCACTTCTTGGGGACTGAGCTTCCTGCCCTTGGCTTGGGGTGATAAAGATCTATTTGGCGAAGCTCTGTGTAAACGGTGCTTTGCTGTCTGCAGGGCCCGCTCCTCCTGATGCTACCAGACCCAGGTCCCACCCAGCACCATTGTGCCAGGGCCTGAAACTGCACCCCAACCCGCTCACGCATACCCCTGCCCTAGTCCCGCACCCTGGAAGTCTGACCCCTCTCTCTTGTCCCTCCAGGTCCCCAAGGAGGTACAGGAGACCAGGACCCAGGGCTCCCTCCTAGGCCTAGTTCATCCCAACTGCGTGAGGATGGTGGAGGACGGGACTGGCCTCGAGCACAGGGAGCGCTGGCTCGGGGTCCGGCTCTCTGGGGCCCTGGTGGGGCTCCAGGAGGTGGGGACCATGCTGGGGTTGTCTGTCCCATAGGCGGGGTTCAGACCAGCCAGCTGCTCCCCGAGGGCCTGTCCCAGGCCTGTGCCCACTGTAGGGCCCACAGTTTCAGAGTCTTCAGCATGGCCATCTGAGGAAAGACTTCTTCGAGAGGTACCCGGACCTGGGCTTTTCTGAGATCTTCACCAACGCACGGGAAGTGCACAGTGAGCTGCGGCTGCCCCCTGGCGAGTACATCATCGTCCCCTCCACCTTCCAGCCACACCAGGACGCTGACTTCCTGCTGCGGGTCTTCACCGAGAAGCACAGCGAGTCCTGGTGAGGACCCCGGAGTCCCCGCTCTCTGCCCCACAGCTGCGGGGTACCCTGCTCAGGGAGCTGCCACCTGCTCCTCCTCCTTGGGGCCTACTTTACACTCAGGGAACCTGGGACCTGAGGAGGAGAGGTCCCAGTTAGGAGTAGCACCTAGAGCTTTTCCACCTCACTCAAGAGGTGCGACACGGCCGGTAGGACCACCCTGACTCCCAGCCCTGGTAACCAGAAGCCTTCGTCCTTTTCGCTCAGGGAACTGGATGAAGTCAACTACGCAGAGCATCTCCAGGAGGTGAGGGACACCCAGCCAGGGCAAGAGGGACTCCGTGGGTGGAAGTGCCGTGAACAGCATCTGGGCCACATGTCCTGTCACCCCGCCCCAGGAGACGGTCTCCGAGCAGGACCTGGACCAGAACCTCCTCAGTCTATTTAATGTGGTGGCTGGTGAGGTGAGAGGGCCCCAGGCTGAGGCTGCAGAGAGGTGGCTGCCTGGGGTGAAGGGACGGGGACAGGGGTTTATGGTCCTTCTTCCTAGGACAAGGAAATAAGCGTGCACAGACTGCAAACTCTGCTCAGCAGGTTAGCCGTTAGATGTGAGTCTCTGCCCGGCCCCGCAGCCCGGCCCCCGACCTTTGGCCCCATATTGCGGCACACCCTCTCATTCCCAGTCTTCTTCCCACCACGCCCCTCCCTCACAGTGAGTAACTTCAAGACCCGGGGCTTTGGCCTGGACACCTGTCGTCGTATGATCAGCCTCATGGACGTATCTTCCTGTGCATGTCCAGGCCTGTCCTCTGCCCTCTGGCCCCTGCCCTGCACGCCCATGCCTGACCCTGAGATGGCTACCTCTCTGGCCAGTCTTGCCCTCCTTTGGGATGGGGGTGAAACTCTGGGATAGCAAAAGATGCCAGTTTTAGCTGGACACAATGGAGCATACCTGTATTCCAATCGCTCTGGGAGGCTGAGGCAGGAGGCTCGGGCAAGTTTCAGTCTAGCCTGGGCAACTTAGCAAGACCCTGTCTCAAAATAAGAAAATTAAAAGGGCTGGGGATGCAGCTCAGAACAAAGACCCTGGGTTTAATCCCTGATACTGGGAGGGAAAAAAAAAAGACGCCAGTCTTCCTCACTGGGGAACTAGAGTCTGTACCCTGTGGTGGCCCAAGGTTCCCCCTTCATGCCCTATCCCTATGATCCTTGACGACCCCCAGAAAGATGGCTCAGGCAAGCTGGGGCTTCGGGAGTTCCAGATCCTGTGGAAAAAGATCAAGAAATGGGTGGTAAAAGGGGACGGAGGGGCTGGATGGTCTGTGGGGGCCAGAGAGGGTGGCTCTCCATGGGGATGGGACATTCAGAGATGGAACGGGCACAGGAGCCCTGCAGTAAAGACATGAGTGTGTGCACACCCATGCACACACACATGCACAGCAGAAGAGGGCCTGCAGGAGGGCTGGTGCATTGTTCATGAAGATACCAGGTCTGAGGGCCATGGTCACAGTGCTGGCAGGAAGCCCCGGCCATCAGCGGCCCCTGCTGTGCTTGGCATTAACCCTTCCGTCCCTGGACAGTCAGGAGCTCAGAGGGAGGGTCTCAGCACTGGTCCCAGGACCCCAGTGTTTCACGATGCCAACCCCATACCCCACATCTGGCTGCCCCACACTCAGGACATCTTCCGAGAGTGCGACCAGGACTGTTCGGGTACCCTGAACTCCTACGAGCTGCGCCTGGCTGTGGAGAGAGCAGGTGTCTGGGGCAGACATGGCTGTGGGGCACTGGGGGCGCATCTAGAGGCCCTCACTGACCCCTTCCCGCTACTCTCCACCCCAGGCATTAAGTTGAACAACAAGGTTGCAGAGGTACTGGTCGCTCGGTACGCAGATGAAAACTTAACCCTGGACCTGGACAGCTTCCTGTGCTGTTTCCTGAGGCTGAAGGCTATGTTCGGTGAGTGGGGCACCGGCCTGGCCCCCAACCTGGCCCTGGGGAGCCAACAGGACCCACCCCTTGTTGGGTTGTAACTGTCTGGCAGCCTGTATCCCCCTCGAAAAAGCGGGGGTGACAGTGGGAGCGGCCCCAGGACTGAGCCCGGGCTGGGAGCCCCGACTGGCTCTAGGGGAGACAAGCTGTGCTGGGGGGCATCGGGCTGGATCTCGGGTGTGAGCAGCAGGACCGCGTGTCTAACTCTTCCGACCTGGGAGTGGGCCCTGGAGGCCTGGCTGCCCTCTCAGCCCTTGCCTGGCCTCCTCTCTAACGCAGCGTTTTTTCTGACCATGGACCCCAAGAACACTGGCTATATTCACCTGAACCTGGAGCAGGTGTGTGGGGATGGCAGGAGCGGGTGCTGAGTCCCACCCCAGGCCGCTGCGGTTTCCCCACCTGCCCCCGCCCCTGCACCCCTCAGCCTGCCCTTGTCTCCACAGTGGCTGCAGACAACTATGTGAGGGGACCCGGCTCCCCCTACCCACAGGGTCCTGGGCCAGCAGGGCCAGGTGCTCTGTGCCACCCCCGTGCGAGGTCCCTGCAGATGGCATGGGCCCCACAAGCCAAAGTTACTCCATGCCTGCCCTCCTGGCTCTAAGCCCCCTCTCCCCGTCCCTGCCAGGCTTCTAGTGCCTGGGTCGGCCCCACTGACTCGAGCTCTGAGTTTGTTTTACTAAAAATGAAGTGATATTTCCCCGGCATCCCCTGTCCACACACCCACCTGTGGCTGCCCCCCCCTCGCCTGGGGATGGTATTGTAATAAATGGCACCTGCCACCCACTGCCTGGCTCTGTGTCTCTGTGCTATGAAGAGACAGGACCAAAGAGGGGGGATCCCACAGCTCTCGGTGGAAGTGGGTAGCAGCACCTCTCCTCTAGGAGCATTAAGAAATGTTTGCTTGAAGCCAGGAGTGGTGGTACGCACCTGTCATGGGAAGCTGAGGCAGGAGGATCACAAGTTGGAGCCTAGGGCTGGGGATTTAGCTCAGTGACATGGCGCCTGCCTTATAAGCGCAAGGTCCTGAGTTCAATCCCCGGTACCAAAACAAAGCAAACAAGCATAAAAGCAACAACAAGTCAGAGCCCAGCTTAGGCAACTTAGTGACTTAGTGGCACACTATCTCAAAACAAAATCATTTTTATAAAGGGTTGAAAGCCCTTGGTTCAGTCCTGAAAGGAGAGAGCGGGATAGAGGAAAACAAGAAGAAACGAGGAGGGAAAGGAGGGAGGGAAGGAAGAAAGGGAGGGATGGAGGGGGGCAGGCAGGCAGGAGAGCTTGTCCCGTTGGCTGGAGGCACTGTCCGCGCTTGCGTGCTGGGCAGCTGAGGGCACCACCAGTCCCCGGGGTGAGAATGGTATGGGCATGGCGGGCAGCAGGTGGGGAGGCCAAGCCAGCTGCCCACGGAGCCTGCGCTGCAGCTGCCAGTTGGGGATCGCAGCCCCCTCAGCCCCCCTGTGATCTCCGGCCTGACTCTGGGGCCCCTGGAAGTGGCGTCCCAGCGCCTCACAGATCAAAGCCCTGACACCTGCTGCAGCCCCACAGTGGCTCAGCGCTGCCTCACAGGTGTCAGATCCGAACTGTTGCCACCGTCGATGGAAAACTGGGGCCTGGCAAACTGTCACCAGGGGCCTGACCACCTGCACTCATCCACCTGACCGCCATCGAGAGTACAAGTGAAAAAAGCTAAGGAAAAGGGAAAGGACCAAGGCCGGAACATGCCAGGCCCAGAAAGACGCCAGAGTCTGGCCCTGTGGAACTGTCCTCAGTGCCAAGGCCGAGGGTGGCCCTTGTCCCTCTCAGTTTGAGGAAGACAGGCCACTAGCTTAGCTTCTGGGTTTCCCAACTGTGAAACTCTGTCTCTTTCTGTGTCTGTGTCTGTGCCTGTGTCTGTCTCTCTGTCTCTCTCTCCCTCTGCCTCAGGGCTGGACCATCCGGAACCATATTGAAATATGCAACTTCATTTTACTTTTTTTTTTTTATTTGCTGTTCTGGGGATGGAACCGGGCCCTAGTGCATGCTGGGCAAGCGCTCTACCCTGAGCTACGTGTGCCCCAGCCCCTCATTCTCATCTAAATCCTTCCTGCCTCAGTTTCCCTCTATAGTGCTTCCCGCCATGGTGCTAAGTAGGCCGCCCCTGCGTGCCGAGAGGATGCTGGGACTCGGTCCTCTGGGGCCTGCGACCCGGGATTCGGTGCCAGCCTAGCACACCTCCTGCATGACGTCCAAGACCCAAGTGAGGCAGCCTGGAGAGAGCGCCGCCCCCGCTGCCTGACCAGGAGCCATTTCCTGTCCTGCCACCCTCTCCCAGCTGATAGATCACACTCTAAAGATGCTCTTAGCAGGCGGACGCCCCACCCTCATCTTCCTTCCCACAGAGCTGGCAAAGGTCCCAGGGGATCAGGAAGCGGCCTTCTCCTCCGAGGGTGACATTGCTAATGTCAAGCCGGGATGGAAGGGGAGCAGTCAGTCCCTACCCCAAACGTCACTCACTTCTTCCTTTAAATTTCTTTAAAATACATTTTTATATTTAATCCACACCCAGTGAGTGCGCATAGTTGTGGGGCTCAGTGTGACATTTCAACACACGTGTACGATGGGGAGTGCTCGCACCCAGGGTGGCAGCAGATCTGTCTCCTTGGACATTTAGTGTTTCCACGTGCTGGGAACGTCCCTAATCCTGTGCTCAAAACCGGGAGTTCAGAGCTGTGTCTCAGCCCTCTAAAAACAACAGAAGCAAGGCGGACTTGATGGTGCACGCCTGAGGCAGGACGATCGCAGCAAGGTCAGCCTGGGCTACATGGCAAGACCCTGTCTGGGAAAAATAAGCAAACAAAGGGTAAAAAACAACAAAAACTTGTTTGTTTGTTTATTGTAGTATTAGAGACTGAACTCAGAGCCTCCAGAATGCTAGGTGAGCTCTCTACACTGAGCTATATCCCCAACTTTTTTTTTTTGTTCTAGGGATTAAACACAGGGCTTTCACATTGAGCTAGATCCCTTTTTTGGGGGTGGGGGTTAAGAAAAGTTCTCACTATGTACTTCAGGCTGGTCTTGATCTCACTCTGTAACCCAGGCTTGCCTTAAATTCATGAAGATCCTCCTGCCTCAGCTTCCTGAGTGCTATCCTCAGCCTTTTTAAAATTGTATTTTTTACTTTGAGATAGAGTCTGTAAGTCTCTAAGTTGCTAAGTCACCAGTTGCCCAGGCTGGTCTTGAACTCTTTTGTTTTATTTTGTGTTTTTGAGACAAGGACTTGCTGTGTAGTCCAGACTGGCCTTGAACTTGCAGCAATTCTCCTGCCTCAGCCTTCCAAAGTGCTAGGATTCCAAGTGTGCAGCATAATACCTGGCTTGGTTTTTGTTTTCAGATAGGGTCTCACTAAATTGCCCTGTCTGGCTTTAAACATGTGATCTTCCTTTGAGTTTCCTGCGTAACTGGGATCGCAGATGTGTTCCTTGGGCCCAGCTGTGCAAACTAATTTGAAAGATTCAGTTAATTCTTATCAACCAGGACCATCAATTCTGGTTGTAAATAAAACTAAAATGACTCATAGACACCTTAGCACAGCAGCCATGGCAGGTTCACTGAACTTGGGGCTGGTTGGGGCCAGATGCTTTCCCCTTGGTCCCACCTGCCAATCAGGGGAAACCAGGCCTGTCATAGAGGGACAGGGGCAACTGACATAGTGAGAACAAGGCCGGCTGGGCATGGTGGCATAGGCCCGTAATCCCAGCTCTAGGGAGGCTGAGACAGGAGGGTTGCCAAGAGTTCCAGGCCAGCCTGGACTCTGTAGCAAGACCCTGTTTCAAAAAAAGAAAGAGAACAAAACAAAAGTTGGAAACATCTGGGCCCATGATCTTTTCCTTTCAGAACTACTTACACTAATAAAAGTGATATTATACAGGCTAGAACACCCAGCCACTGAGCCACATAGCACGAAAACCATGAGACTTATTATGAAGTTAAATAAGATGTCTATGAAACCTCCCTTTCCAAGAGAGTCCCTGCTGGCACTGAATACCTGAGTGTCAGCCACGGTGTTATCAAAGCAGCTGGGTGTGGCGGCACAGGCCTGTCTGAGGCAGGACCATCTTGAGTTCAAGTTCACCCTGGCTGGCTACTCAGTCAGTGAAATTCAGCGTGGGCTGGCCTGGACTACGTAATGACACTGTCTCGAAATAACAGCAAAATGGCATGGCAATGGGGCGATTTTCTCTAGCCCCTCCCATGCCCTTCCCCAGTGGACTCCACTGCCCAAGGGCAGCCTGAGTGCCATGGAGGCCAGCACGCCGTGTCCTGTGGTCCCCAAGGCTCTGTGGGCACAGGCAGGCAGTGTCTCTGGTGGGCGAGGGCACTGATGGCATCAGATGCCCCCAACACGCACAGGCCTCATCACAAGATCAGTGGCACCTCCTGCCAACCAACTGCCACAGACGCGTGCCCCACTTTCGTGCAAAGACAAGGGATGGAGGAGGAGGAGCGGCCCCACCCCACATCTCTAGTTCCTCAAGGGTCTCTGTGGCTTCATGGTCCGGTCTCTCAGACAACAGGGCTCACCTCTTCCCGATACCAGGAATATCACGCAAGAGCTCTGACTGCCCCTGAAAACATGTGAGGGAAGAAAAGCAAAGCAGAAGGGCTCAATAGCTTTCTGTTTTGTTGTGTTTTTTTTCTTTTAAAAGCATTATGGCAAACTGGATATGCCCCATGCCTGTAATCCCAGCACTCTGGGAGGCCGAGGCAAGAGGATGGCAAGATTGAGCCCAGCCTGGGCAACTTAACAAGACCCTGTCTCAAAACTGTAAGAAAGGGTTTGGAGATGTAGCTCAGTGAAAAAGGCTCTGGGTTCAATCTCCAGTACTGCAAACAAACAAACAAAAAAAAGTGGGGAAAAAAGTTGTTTCTCTGTCTAAATGCAAATATATAGATATTCGCTTTTCTCCACCCTCTTTGGACAAAAGGTTAAGATAGGATACAAACCAGCTGACACCATGTGTGTGTATATGTGTGTGTGTGTGTGTGTGTGTGTGTGGTGCTGGGGATCACACCCAGAACCTCATGGGTGCCGAGCACTCGCTCTACCACTGAGCTCTCCCAGCTGCCCCTTCTTTTTTCATTTTAAAAAAGTAAACACATCTTGAGGCAATTACAAATTCACAAGGGGGAGAGTCTGGAATGATCCACATGGTAGATTGGCAATATCAACATGAACTCTGTTTCACTCAGTACGTGTACAAGTGATTACATAAAAAAAATATTTATAAACTGGGCATGGTGGTGCACACCCAGGACCCAGCCACTGGAGGGGTTCAGGTAGGAGGATCAAAAACTCTAGGCCAGTGGAGCAGCTTAGCGAGGATTCATCTCAAAACAAAAATTAAAAGAGCTGAGGATGGAGTCAGTGCTCCCTGGGTTCAATGCCCAAACTGCAAATGTATATGTTTGCACGTTACGAGATGCCCATACTTCCTCTTTCCACACCCTGAAGCCACAGCAATGCTCCGCAGCAACAGGCAAGTGTCCAGGAGGTGTCCAGGAGCTCATTCTCCAATAAGTAGAGGAAATTGATACGAGATGGAAAGAAACTGTACAATCTCCACAATTTCCCTGTTACTCTAAAACTATTCTTAAGAACAGTTTATTTTTTAAAAGCCATTGACATACATATCTTGGAGCTTATTTCTGTATTTGTGTTAAGAGGGCCTCCTTATTGCTTGTATGTTTGTTTGTTTGTTTGATACAGGGTCTCACTGTGGAGCCGAGGCTGGGCTCGAA